GCCATGATATGAAGGCTCACAGCCAAGCATTGACTTTAGCTGACAGCCGGGATATGACTTTTCTAATTTTTCATTTATCAAAATAAAATTGTGAACATTTAAACATAACGTAATGAAAACATATATGTATGTGTTACCTATTCTGATTTACATTACAAGTAAAGCTGCCTGTAAAGTAAAACAAGCTTTCAGTGCTTTAAAGCTTTCCTCATCACACAAGAGCAAAATGGATTCATTGTCAATGCACAGCACAAGCTATCGTGCTGACTGAGCGCCGGCTGTGGGCAAGGTTTCGCAGCCAGTGAGCGCCATACCGAAGTGGTTAAGACTTTAGTCTTTTTTCTTTTTTTAGAGAATAAACTTTATTTCATAACAGTATTACAGAAAGGAAAATATCATTTAATACGACTTGAAGGTGCTATAAATCTGTTCTGGCATCATAACTATACATAAAGTCCAAAAGCAAGGGAAAAATGTTCAATACAGTTAATAAGTAAAAAGTCATAGGACTGGAAAGTCAAAAGGATCCAATATGAAAAATATCCCCAGTGAAATTCTCAAACATTAGAAAATTTTCAAAATGCTAAGAAATGCCTTTTAAATCTGTATTAATATTTTATCATACAGTATATTTACTGCCCTTGGAAAATTCTATAAATATTTACTGTAAGAATTCAATGGAAAGAATCTGGAAAAAGGAAAGGCACTACCTAAATTAGTCACAGAGTTTCTTTTTCACACGACGGCACCTGTTCAAGTGAATAGCACTTTACCAGCATGGGCTGGCTTTGTTCACTGTTGTTTGATCAAAATAAGCCATAAAAAGCAAGTAGTTGTACACAAAGCAAACAGGAAACAAAAACAAAAGCCCTTAATTTTATAAAAGAAAGAACTAAGAATATCTAAAAGTGATTATAAAACAAAATACTTCACCATACCAGAGTGCTGCTCTATGGTCTTTCTGATCACTTAGCCAGCACCTTCTGTATCTGGTCATGATCAATATCTGCCTCTTCTGTGACCACAATGCATTTGTTAATTCTTGTTTCACACATGCCACCTTTTCCAGTCTTCGTGATGTGTGTGGTGGTTGCTGTCGACACGGACTCAGGTGTGATGGTTTATGTAGTCAGTAAGGTGCCTGAATCACCACTAGCTTCACCATCAGTCTATGGACATTCAAATGCCATGGTTTTGGTCTCAGTTTAGACAATGGGGACTTCCTTGGTGGAGATTCCAGTCCTTTGTGAAGCATCAGAAATTGTTACCATCTGTTTTTACCACTGGTGGCTTTCCTTCAATGAGTTGCAAATGTGGGGCTTTAGTTGGGCTTCTCACTTCCCTCCTTCTGTCCCCATCTTGTACCATAGTAATACTGACAACTTCAGGGGCATGTGCTGAAATCATCTCCCCAGCAGAGGCAGAATTCTTCATAAGACTTTGATCGATAATGCCAATCAGAGCTCCATGAAGACTCCTGGAGGCCTGTTTACTAGACGTATGCTTGAAGTGTGGTGCTGGCTTATCTATGAGGGTACTTACCTGGAGGGTCTCTACTTGGGTCCAGCTTCTGTAGGGGAATTTGGACCACAAGGTCAAGAACTTGGTCTTCAGTGGTTGTTTAAACCTGTAGAAAGTATAATGCTCTATGCACATTTTCCATAGCCTTTTTGCTGCCTGGTATTTTGGCAGTTTGAATCTAACAGTGTTCTCTAACTATTTTATCTCTGCAGACCCAAATCTAATGTAGAAGTTACTGTGCATATAGGAAATTTTCAAGATTTTTGCCCAAGCCAAATAATAGAGTGTGAGCCCATCTCTGTAAATAAGGAGGCCGACAGCACACAAGCCCAGTTTGTAGTCCATGCCTCTGAGTCCTTGGCATCATATAGGTTAATACCATACATGGTAAGTCTTTTTGCATTGTCTAGGAACCAGTAATCAGCTTGCACTGGAGACAAGCCCTGTGTGCTTTGTACAGCTCTGCCACCATCTCTTCCAGCTCCTTAGTCTGTGTGGGGGCAAACTGGTATTCACTGAGGTCAATGCTGCCAAGAACTTTTGGGTCATAGTCTCTTAAGTTGAGTAACAATGGAGCAGGGCAGGCAGCCAGAGGCAGTGTTCTACTACAGCTGAAGGCACAGTAATATCTTCAGTCAATTGAAAAGGATAACAAGGATAAAACTTCACATTAAAAGTGAACGTCCAGGGAAGATTTTGCAGTTGTCTCTTTATTTTTTTGTAGGATCTAGCCAGTTTTTCTGCTCAGGGTTTTCCTGAAACATAAGGCCAAAGTAGTCCTTCTCCAAGAGATTGAGGTGTCTTCATACTTTGTCAAATAACACTTGTCCTTAGCACATTTCTTTATCTGCCCAGGTGTGTTTCAGTGGTCCCATGAGATTCTCCACATATACATCCCTCCAGGTCACAGCTATATTCAGTGCTATCTGAGAGGATCACCTTATACTGGACAGTTTTGGTCTTCTTAGTGGCTTTTTCAGAGGCCTTCTCTGCTTTATAGCTCATTGGTCTGCACTTTCTTGGTCTCTCTTTTTTCTGCTGTTCCTTCTGATTTGTCTTCCTTTATTTCCTTTACTTTCTCCTCTTCTCTCTCTTTACTTACTAATTCAACAGGCTGTGTGTGCCTCAGCTCTGCTCATGGAAGGTTTTTCTTCCTGGACTTCAACCTTAGTCTTCAGTCGTTTCCTCTGAGCTGCTGCTTCAGTATCACCCTGGGCCTGTCTCTCTTCTGGAAAAGGTTCCTCTTTATCTAAGACCTGTTTTTCCACAACAGCATGAGTGGACTCTTTTTTATCTCCTCCATCTTTGGCCACTAATAAGGTACGATACTTTAGTTTCTTAAGCCATGGGGCTAGGAATTGAGAAATACTCCTTTTCACAGATGGCTCCTTCTGTCTCTTCTGGTGGAAGATACTACTTTGGCTTTCAGCTGTAGGAGAAGGCTGGGAACCTTTCTTCTCCTCAGGATCAGATGACTGATTCTGCTGGGTTTCTGCTACTTCTTTAAGTTGCTCCTTGGTTACATCTGTTCCTAACTGGGCAGAGTCCTCCTTCACTTCAGATGCAGAGCTTACTTCAGTAGCCATGGTTACAGCTTATGCTGTAGTCCTAGCTACTTCGGAGCTGAGGCAGGAGGATTGCTTGAGCCCAGGAGTTTGAGGTTGCTGTGCGCTATGATGCCACTTCTCTCTTGCGCAGGCAACAGAGCAAGACCTTATTTTTGCTGAGTGTTCTCTGCTTTTCCACATGCTCCATAATCTTTTCTTCTACATAAAGATCCTTCTGGGCCTGTTTCTCAGAGTCAGCCTTTTCTCCCAAATTCAAGTACTCTTCCTCATTGGTTGGCTGGGGATGATCAGCAGCAGGACAGTCGGGGTGGCCCTTTTCTTTGAAGAGGTTCTTGGGGAGAAGCTGGTGCTGTGAATGTGTTGGAGTTGCTTCTGATGCCTGAACAAGTGAATCACCATGTACACGCTTGAGAACAGCATGAATCCTCGGTGTCCTGATGTGATGCTCCTGATGCTCTCCGTGGAACTCCTTGCAATTCTTCAGCCAGAAGATGAAGGGAGTGGAGTCACCAGCGGCTGGTGGAAGCAAATGGTGTGGGTGGCCAGCATAGCCAGCAGCTTCTTACCCATCCACTGGGGCCAAGTCCAGTAAGGATCCCCTGCTATTGAGGGCAGGGCTTGGTGGGTAGAAAGCAGGCCCTATCCCTGGCCAGCCTGTGTGCCTGGAATCTGGTCTCATTTGTATCTTCAGCCTTGGCCTACCATCTTTCTCACATCCAGAGAACAGAGCACCTGCCTGCTCACTGCATGACACTGAGTTCTACTCAGCTCCATGCATGAGGGCTCCAAGGCGGTGCCAGCCACGATGCCTCAGCTACAAAGACTTCAGCAGCCCATATCTATCAAAACTTTAGTCTTTAAGGAACTGGGTATGTTACTGTATAAGATTTTTAATGTTAGGATTTTATTACTATCATTACAGTATAGTGTAATTTTTGGTATGCTACCATTTTTTAGGAGCACAGAAGCTACATTTTTCTTTTTGGAGTGTAAGTTTTATCTGGGGGAAAACAATTGTTAGTTAAAGCAATTAACTCATAATGGCATTTTAACTTTACTGATGACATTTTTCCAGAAGCAGATAAAGGTGTTATGTTAAGGGTTTTTTACAAAAAACATGCTGATATATCTTCATTCTTGTAAATAGGTGTAGAAAAAAAATATTTGTTTTTTACATCTTTATTGTGTTTTTATTTATTTATTTTTTAGGGAGATGGGATCTTGCTCTGTTGCCCAGGCTGGAGTGCAGTGGCATAATCATAGCTCACGGCAGCCTCAAACCTGGGCTCAAGCAATCCTGCTGCTTTGGTCTCCCAGAGTGCTGGACCTGTTTTTATACCTTTTACCAATTGGAGTTTTACATATGCAATTAGGTATTTTAACTAGTTTGCAAAAGTGTATTTTTAAGAACTTGAAACTTCCAAATATGTTAAATACTTGATTTGTTTACAATATATTTGCAAAGATAACAGAGCACTAAGTTTCTTAGGAAGGTTTGCTAAGTAGTTACTTTAAAAAATGAAAAAAGGCAGAGGAAACAGTAGTGACCAGGCTTGGAGGCGGTGGCAGCTGTGGCCCCTGGAGTTGTGGTCAGTGCTGGGACAAAGGTGCAGCTGCCCTGCAGCCGGAGCAGCCCAAACTGGGGTGCACAGTCACATGCCCCCCACGGCGACTTACATGATGTTTCCACAAAGCAGGCATTGGGGCTCCTCACACCTACCCCAGCAACTCAAATTCCTCATCTCGGACTCCTGTGATTGCATCAAAGATGAATTTCAGCTGCTGCAGGCTTAGTGTCAGAGCCTAAAGCTGGAGTGTGACGAGTTGGCCAATGAGAAGTCATAGATGCAGTGTCACTATGTGATGTACTATGAGGTGTCCTACACCTTGAACATTGAGATGCACAAGCAGGCTGAAATAATCAACAGGCTGAATGGGACTTGTGCCCTCTCCCAAGAGGTAGGGCAGAACCTACCCTACCTCTCCCACCAGCAGCAGGTCTTGGGAGCCATGGAGAGGGCTAAGCACATCTCTGCTCCTGAGCTGAACTTCATCATCTGACAGCTGCTCCAAGCCCACCAGCTGGCCCAGCTGCAGGCTCTGTCCCTGCCTCCAACCCCATTGCCTGTGGGGCCACAGCCGCCTTCGCTGCCAGCGGTCCGTGCGGTCACCGGCCTCCTCTTGCTGTCCGCACAGGGCTCTCAGGCCCATTTTTCCAAGGAAGACAAGAACGAGCATGACGGAGACACCAGGAGGATGATGGCAAGAAGTCAGCTTAGCAGGCAGGGGGACACGGGTAGTTTGGGAGGGCCGGGACAAAGAGTGAAAGGAATGTTTAGCGCAAGACACAGTATAGCTTGGGATTGGGCAAACTGTGGTAGTGTTTATGGTAGCCACCTACTGGGGCCCTGGCCCTGTTCTTGTGTTACCTCCTAGCTTTGTTCCTGTCTCCTGAAGCCCTGACCTCCTTCCTCTCCTGCAGCCCGAATAGGTGAATGAATACCTGCTCATAACTCAGATGAGGCAAGCTAAGGCCTGGAGGGGCAAATGGGAGACCAGGTCAGAAGGGAGCAAAGCCTCAAGAAATCCAACACCCCCAGTACTTCCTCTGCTCTGAACAAGTGTAACTGACAGTCTCCTCACTGGGTCCCTCTGGACACATGCCAAGCTCCTGCCCTGGAACTGCATGCAAACACAATGCTAGCTGCCCCCTCCTCATCCTGGGTACCCTGAATCTCCACCCTGGGTTCCAGGTCTGCTCCACCTTCACCTCTGCCTCATGCTCCACTGACCACATACACTAATTCCAGACAACCCCATGCTCACCTGGTCCTCTCCCCTCACCCGTGAAAGAAGGAGCAAGCTTAGCTGGGACGAGCCAGGTGGTGGCAGGTGTTCCAGGATTTCCCTTTGCCCCTTCTCAAAGATGAGAGTACTAAAAAACAACAACAACAATAAGAACCCTAGCAGATTTACATGTGTAAGAACCATTGTTTGTATTAATAGTTTAAAATGACTGACTAGACCTAAAAATTACATAATTTAAAAAAATTTACTATATCTTTAGCTACAGAAACTGTAGTTGTCACCTGAGATAGGGAATCCAAACCACTCCTAACTCTTTGATGAAAGAAAAAAATCTTGAGTTCTATTTTCAGATCCATAATCTTAAGAACTCTTATATTTTCTTATTTCAAAGTAATATAAGCTAGGTATAATGAAACTAGGAAATATAGCTCTTAGTTTATAAATGTCTGCAATTAGCTTTACTAACTAAAATGAAAATAACACCTATTGGTAAAATTAAGTTTTTTATAAACTCTAGTTCTAAAAGTTTTTTGTTTTATCCATATTGTAATTTCCAGTAATCATAATGCAAAACACTTACAAGCATGATATTTAAAATATATAGCATACATACAATAACATACACAAATTGCAAGTGTTCAGCTAATGAATTTTTATAGTTAACACCCCTGTGTAACCAATGTCAAAATCAACAATCTAAATTTTACCAACCTAGACTAGTTTACAAGCATGAAATTTTATTTATTTATTTATTTTTGAGACAGTATCTCTGTTGCTCTGGCTAGAGTGCCGTGGAATCAGCCTAGCTCACAGCAACCTCAAACTCGTGGACTCAAGCAATCCTTCTGGCTCACCCTCCCAAGTAGCTGGGACTACAGGCATGTACCACCATGCCCAAATAAATTTTTCTATATATTTTTAGTTGGTCAATTAGTTTCTATTTTTTAGTAGGGATGAGGTCTCGCTCTTGCTCAGGCTGGTTTCAAACTCCTGACCTTGAGTGATCCTACTAGCTCAGAGTGCTAGCCTCCCAGAGTGCTAAGATTATAAGCGTGAGCCACCATGCCTGGCCTAGCATGATATTTTAATGTATGCAAATATTTAAAATCTTGCACAAAAATTTGAGTGACTAAACTTTTCTAAATTTCTTACACTTACAAAATTGGGTTTATTCAAAGAGAACTTACATATGAAAAGGTTATTCATGAAACCATACAGTGTGTCATTAGGTTAACCAAATAAAATTCTTGAACTGCTTAAATTTTTTGCCCATCTCATAAAGTGTACTAATGAAGAAGAAACTTCCATTATACTCTATTATTATAATGCTGCTACTAAGAAAGAATTATCAGAACATCAACAATCTCAAAGTAAAATTAAAGAATTAAAATAGAGATCATCAGATGGGTGTGCATTTAATGACAAAACAGTTGTAAAATTGCAAATAACTCTAAACAAGATAATTTGACTATTCATTGCTTGGAGTGGAATGCAGTCAAATTATACAAAGGCAGTTGTAATGGTCAACCTTGTTGTTCAGCCAATACCTTTATTCTAAATTTTAATATTAATAAATTTTTATATATAGAACCAGTAATTATGCCAGTGTTAACCAAGGTTTCTGGCTAAAATAATAGCTTATAGCTTATCATATTACAAAAAGGAATATAACTATAACTTAGAAAAGAGGTTAAAAATTAAGGTAGGTATGCCTTAATGGTAAAACTCAGTTGGAAAAGATCTATAATTTTCTCAAAATAATTAATCAACAATTAATGCCTTTACATATGTATTAATTGATTTTAAACAAGGAGACCAAGACAATTCAGTGGAGGGAGAATAGTCTTTTCAGCAAATGGGGCTGGGACACCAGGCAAAAGAATAAAGTGGGACTCTTACTTCAAACCATGTACAAATATTAACTCAAGGCCAGGTGTGGTGGTTCACACCTGTAATCCTAGCACTCTGGGAGGCCAAAGTAGAAGGATCATTTTAGGTCAGGAGTTTGAGACCAGCCTGAGCCCTGAGCCAGAGCGAGACCCCTCTCTACTACAATTAGAAAAATTATCCAGTCACAGCGGCACACATTTATAATCCCAGCTACTCAGGAGGCTGAGGGAGGCTGAGGCAGGAGGATCACTTGAGCCCAGGAGTTTGAGATTGCAGTGAGCTGTGATCATGCCACTGTACTGTAGCTGGGGAAGCAGAGCAAGACTCTGTCTCCAAAAAAAAAAAAAAAAATTAAGAAATAGGAAAAGGATCAGACTGGACATTTTTCCAAAGGAGATACGTAGATGCTCAATATCATTAACCATTAGAGAAATACAAGTCCTTGTGTCATTTCTTTATGACAACACTGTGTAGTCGTTGTGCACCCACTTAGAACTAAGGTAGGCTGTGTTCAAATCCCATCTTTACTTCTTATAAGTTGAATAACAATCTTAAGCAAATTACTTATCCTTTCTGAATATCTTCCTTTGTTTCTTTATAAAAACACTCCTCACATTCAAAGCCGTTACTTAGTACAGTGCCAGGTACATAGTAATCATTCAGTCAGTGAGAACTGTTATGATCTTTTTAATCACTATCTTCCATTTTTCCCTTCATATTTCCTACCACTTTTGTTCCTACAGTTGTTTAGTACCATTTTGTTTACTTTCCTATCATTTCTGTGTGTGACAGTTCTGCCAGTACTATTTCAAGAAGAGAAGTGCAGGCAACCTCAGGCTTTAGCTACAGCCCCCATATTTGAGATTCCAGCAGAGCCTCAGGCCTGATCAGCAGTTAACTACCCAGCCTACAAGAGGCACTGGAGGGTAGCATCATGCTTTCTCCAGCTGGAGATTGTCACACATCCTGTTTGCTTAGATCACTAACTGGTGAATATAGAGGGCATATTATAAGGTATACTAGCATATATTAATACTATGAATATCCAAAGTTTAATAACCAACTTCTAGCAGGGTTGTTTGTTCTTTGTAAGAATTTGAATTTTATTCAGTTTTCTAGCACTTGCTGAAGAATGGAGAAAAACAGGTTTTCTTGGTGGCCAGGACCATCTGTAGGGGTATTTAAGGCTCCACTATCTTTTCCTATGTTGCCTGCAAACATTTTTATAAAAATCAAACTGGTTTTCAAGAGCAGTCCTGACAAGTAGAACTGAAAAGGTCAACATGAAGAATGTAGATGTTTTAGGGGGACAGAAGCAGGAGGTGGAAAGTGTGTGAGGAGAGAGGATAGATATAACAATAGAACAATATGGAGACAAAAGGAGGAGGAAGGGAGGAAGAGTGATGTAGGAGGGAGGGTGCTCTATTGCTAGGCAGCCGTGAATAGGCTTTTTGGTGTTGCCTGAGTAACAGCAGAAGGGGATAATGAGTACTTCAATAATTTTAGGAATCAGCTAGTATTAAGTATCTCCTTTTCCTGTCCTTTGACACCCTAACTCACCTAATAGCCACCTAGGTATCCTGTTTACTATTTTGAGAAGAAACAAGCTAAATGACTTGAAAATCAAGTGTTTATCAGATTATAATCTAATGGCAATGTTTTTTTTTAAAGCATTTAAACCATTGTTAGTTGTACATTTTAGATTTATTTATGATAGTTGCCCAGAATTAAAATCTTTCTCAAACAGAATTTAAAAAATATTTTATTATGGAAAAATTTAAATATATACACAAGTAAAAATAATAGTATAATAAATCTCCATATACTTATAATCAATTTCAGCTATTATGAACTCATGATTAATCTTGTTTCATTGATTAGCTCCACCCGCATTCCTTTTTCTCTTACCTCCTTGACTCCTCCACCCCAAGTTTTGGGGCTTGGATTATTTAGAAGCAAATTCTGAGCAGGCTGTGGTGGCTCATTGTCTCACCTGAGAGTCTGGATCACTTGAGGCCAGGAGTTTTGAGACCAGTCTGGGCAACATAGTGAGACTCCATCTCTATAAAAAAGATAGCCAGGTGCAGTGATATGCTCCTGTAGTCCCAGCTCCTAGGGAGGCTGAGGCAGGAGGATCACTTGAGCCCAGGAGTTCAAGGCTGCAGTGAGCTATGATTGCACAACTGCACTGCAGCCTGAGTGACAAAACGAGACCCTGTCTCTTAAAATAAAACAGCAAATTCTAGACATCATACAGTTTCATTAGTAAATATTTCAGTATGAAACACTAAAATATAAGGTATATACTTTAAAAAACATAAAAACAATACAATTTTGTACTAAAAAGATAATAATTCCTTAATATCAAATATCTGGTCAGCATTCAAACTTTTATTTTATTTTATTTTTTATTTTTTTAAATTCTTTTTTTAAATTATTACTTCATATTATGGGGGTACAGATATTGTTAGGGTTACATATCTTGCCCCTGCCCCCCAACCCCGCTATGACAGAGCTTCTAGTGTGTCCAGCCTCCAGGTAGTGCGCACCGAACCCACCGTGTAAGTACAT